TGATGAACAAGATAACGCGAAAAGTGATCCAAATGGAACAGAGGGGAACATGGAGGAACAGAAACTTGAGGTAACTTGTTTCTTTTATATAGCGATAAAATAAAATAAGATGACTTGATTAGTTTACTATTGGTTGAATCTTAATTTTTAGGTGTCTGAAGAAACAAGTTCATCTGGTGATATCAGAAATAAAATATTGGTGACAGCGGATACATGATCGTTCAAGAAATTACACAAGGGGAAACGCCACTCACTCAATTACAGGAATAACCAACTATATCTTGAATTAGGATCGACCGAGAAAACCTATTGTCGAACTAGTATTTATAATACATTGTAATATAACGCAAAGTCCATCAATTATTAGTCGTACAATTATTATTTTTTTTCTGTGAGGCATGTTCAACAGAACCTTAATAAACTTATTTATTATTCATGTTTATAAATGAGTATGTGCACATGTTTAAGATACTATTTCAATAATATTGAAGATTTCTTTGAGAACACACTGTTGAGTAAATCAATCAAGTGGGGGGAGGTACGCGCATATTGAAAGAGTCAACGCCCGCAGTAATTAACAAGGATTTATTTTATAATTTTCAATCTTTTTTTAGGGAAACATTATTTTTTTAAATTGTAATTTCACGTACTCTTTTGAATGTTACTTTAGCATATTAGTCGAAATCAGTTTTTTTTTTTTCTGATTAATGTGTGAAGATGCTATTTTGTTTTGGTTTTGGTTTTTTTTTCAAAGAATTCAAGCTGAATTTGGGTACACCATCCCAAGCTTCATGAAAATTACTTATCTTTTGACTCTTAAGCTTGATTTCATGACAAACGAATGTTATGAAAGAAACGTCCTAATTGAACACACAAAGGCATCCGAAACATTTACAATGATACATTCAAAGTTTGACAATAATCAAAACAAGAAAAGATTTTTTTTTTTTTTTTTATCCTTTGCATTCACACAGAGAATAACACCCCGTAATTTGGCACGAAGTTACCTTTGATGTCATCGATATTCCATCTATCGAAAATTCCCTCGAATTCCACTTTCTGATTTTTCATGTCCCAATCCAATCCCCCGAACACCCCGACTTTCCTAAACCTGCTTAAGCAATTTTTCTTAAACCCTGTCAATGCTCTCTTCTTAATACCAAACTTTGTCCCAATGTGTAATAACCGCAGTGTTGGTGAGAGATGACTTCCCAACGCCGGGAAAAAGTTGGAAAACATCAGGTATCGTTGCTCGGTTTCGTTCGAGCAATAGGGTATCTCAGTGAGCACCAATTTTTGCAAGCGATCTAGATTCAAGAGGGCATTGAACAGTTGCTCTTGGGTGTGGATGTGTATATAGGTCGTCAGTGACGTAAGGTTTTTACATAGTTCGATCTTTCCTAGTATATTTAGATGATTGTAATAATCAGACTCGAGGAAATTTATTTTTCTTCGATGATCGAGGATCATCCAATTATATCTAAAGTGCGGAACCCCCGTGTCCAAATCCATCAAGCTATCCTTCGCAGCCTCAATCAACGTTGTCAACACAGTTGGCTGCGTTTGACCATAGATGAATTTCAATCGCCTAATACTGGGCAGAAAAAGTTTTTCGGGAATTTGGTCTGAGAAATTCGTACACTGGTTGAAGGTCAGTGATTCCAAATTTGAAAACTCGGAGAGATTTTCCAGCCAATTTGAATTTTGAAAGTCGCAATGATTAAACGAAAGAACGCGTAAGGAATTTTGTTGAGAACTGACCAGATGGGTGACAATATCAAAAATTCCTATTTTACAATTCCACAATATGAATTCTCGTAAACCAGCTTGCGCCTTTATCAATCTACAAAGCTTTTGTGACTCCAGTATGGCCTGGTCATCTCCATCATCTTCCAACCCTTCCTCTTCGCTGTTAGGAAGGTGCAAAGGATTACACGAGGAAACCTCTATTGTACGCAATCCCTGACATATCTCCGAGAGAACTTCAAATGATGTACCTCTGTAGAAGTTGCTTCTACTTTCAAACATTGTCAGATTCGATAAACATTCTCTAATCCGAGGATGTTTCAACAATGACCTTGTATCATCATCACTTGACCCTAGGAGCGTTGAGGTAGATTGAAGGTACTTTATGGTTTGACATTGTTCTGCGATTAATTTAGACAGTACGTGATGAATTATCTCCGATTTCAGCAATATGTCTGCGGTATAATAATCATCCGCTGCGGAAAAGATCAAAGATGAGATTGTCGAACTATTGACCCGCGATTTCTTGCCAAATTTCTTTCTCACAATGCTCCACATATTAGTAAATCTGCATGTAACCCTTGCACGATTACTACCGCTCATGTAGTTCATAGTGCTACCGGTGCCATTGCTAATCAGACTTTCCTTATTACTCCCGCCACTATTTTTCCCGTTGTTACTTCTCTTAAACAACGGGAATCTCCGAATCGGGGAGACCGCCGTTGGGCGGGGGTTATTTGCCTCGAAATCCAAACACCAGAATAAGCTAATCATCTGCAAATCACTATTAGACAAGTACCTCAAGAACGAGATGTAATTAAATATTGGAAATGTGTGTTGTTCAGCGCCGAAGAGGGGAAATCCTTTTTTGGACAACTCCATTCGCTCGTCGTCATTGAGATGTCGGAGGTAGGTATCCACCAATTTCACATGACAGCTTCGGTATCGGTGATATGGGTAATAGTCGTCGGACCCGTGAATGAGCTTCATGGGGTTTCGCCAGAGAAGATGGATGATCGCTCGGCACCATGCTCGACTAACCAATATACAAGAATACAGAATCTTTCGGTCATCATGAAAGTCCAGAAGGATCTCGTAGAGAAGGAAGGTGGGAAACGAAGAATTTTGATTTTTCATATTTTCTTGTTCATTTATTTGCATTCAACTATACATATTTTGTTAAATAACAAGGAAGGTAAATAATAATAATAATAATAATAAAAATTAAAATCAAGCGGAATCGTGATGGATGAGAAAGAAATTAGATGAAACATGTCTTTATATTACATTTAATCACGCACATGATGTTTCAGAAGCGGGAATGCAAGTGTGAACGTTACAACATTACGTAGTAATGTAAAGAATTCACGACACTTGATACATGTGACAAAATGTCCATTCGCTCTTCGAACCAATCATTTGGGATTGACATTTACGCATATGGCATAAATGACAAAAATGGGCGAATGGCAGATATGCAAGAATTATTACTATAATGGAGTCAATGTGTAAAGAACCTAAATGAAAAAGAACTGCTCAAAGAAGTTCAGTTACAGGGTATGAAAATAGCAAAAGTCAATGTAAAATAAAAAAATCCGAATACTGACGACACACTTTGGGAAAGTCTTTAATTTTTCCAAACACACCAATCAAGTCTGGATATGTTTTTTGGAATTTATGGGAAAATAATTCCGAACTCAAGTACGCATTCATCTTGGAACTGTTAAATGTGTATACCAATCGGAACTTAATCATTGCTGACTGTACATTTTGAAAAGAGAAGCTCAGTCAGCCTTTCGACAATACGAAGTTGCACCACATGCACATTTTTTTAATTGAGATCTCGATTACAACCAACTTTTTCGATTCCACCTTCGTTATCAGGAGTAGTGGGATGTAGAGGATGTGAATAAGATGTAACCAATCAGATGGTTTATTGATGGTTTATTCCACACATTACCGCATTTGAGTTGACAATTGGTAACGAAGGTTTTGTTTATTATGCTCAAGTTAATTCGAATTTTAATAATACTTCTGGCATAATATTAATCGAATCGTTATTAGGAATTGAAGAAAAAAAAATTTTTTTTTCTTTGTTTATACGATGGGCAATGATAAGAGTTGCCGTTAGGAAATTAATAAGTTTTCCTGCACACAAATAAGTTCGTTAATAAAACATTCCCAATATTTTAACGATTCCTAAGAATAAAGACTGTAGAATAATATATGGTATGTACAGTATATTATATTACATATATATATATAGTAGATACTGTATATGTACATATACTGTATGTATAATCAAATTCCTATTTACGGAAACCCCGTAAAATTCCCATTTTGGAATAAGAATAATCTCATTTCGTTCCCAGAATGAAAAGGAATAAAAGGACTTGACACATGATCCTAAACGTCACGCGATCGATATATTTGTTCTTCCGCATTAAGCAATGAGGAATGGTTTGCCGTTACTAGAAACAAAGAGAATCTTCAACTTTCCTACCAATATATGCCAAGCCACAGTTACGAGCCACAGCAATTCAATGTGCGAAAATCAGTTTATTTTTTGATCCCTTTACACAATTTTTTCGAAAAAATACTAAAAATATTCAAAGAATCACTGCTATCTGAGATTAAAAGTTCGCCCCAGAATGACCCGAATTTGCTCTAGCTTTCTGCAAAGACAACAGACATCCAGAATTAAGCGCTTTCGCCCGTACTAATATTATTAAATATACCACTACTGTGACGACGACTCAACCTCCGACGTCTTTCCGACATTAACAAAGGACCTCCCGGCCCATAACCTCTGGCGCTTTCATATGAAAATTTGCTTTCATGATCATCTCCAAAATTTATCTTCAGAGTACAGGGCCCCGTCGCTCCAACGGTCGGATACCATATGTGAAACAATCTCAAGAAAGCATTTCCGAGGAATTTTCCGTTCTTCGTAAAAAACACATTACCAACATCAGGTGTATACCCACAGCCTATGGTGTCTCCCGTGTCCCACGCATCCGCATACTTTTGGCCAATGGAATCATTAAACTTTCTACCATCGATGGAATTATAACTAACAGAATGTATATTCCATCCGGGCAATCTTTAAATATTTAGATATCAATGTTATTATTAATCTTTTATCATCACGGTGATAATCGCGTAGCGAGAATGATTACCTGTACGAAGGATAGGGCTTCGTAGCCAAACCAATTGCTATATTAGTATCACTACCTTCAGGATTTTCTATAACTGTAATCTCAAAATAATGCAACACCTGACCTCCCCTCTCTACTGCTGATTTGGGTACTTCAAAAGGAAGCTGATATAAAACATCCCCTTCAGCTTTTGGAACAAAACAGGGATAATTTGTCTGTACCATCACAATTTGTCTCTTTTGGAATCTCAAAATATTCCTCTCTTTTTCCAATGAAACAACTTGCTGTGCCAAGAATTGTTCTTCGAGAACCCATTCCCACGCTTTGGCACCACCAAGACGTCGAATCTCCGTTATCTCTTCGGTCGTGGGTGTGTCATTTAGTGGAGGATATTGTATCGAAAAATTGTCAGCTTCATCGTTTGCGGTGTCTGTCTCAGGAGGACTCGATGTGACCTTCGTTCTCGAACTCCCCTGCAGAAATCTTGGGAGATAATTAATTATGGATGAACGTGGAGGGGTTTCCGTTTTTATTGCTCTTTGACCCACGTCGACTTTCTCCCGACTCTTCCGGATACACACGATGCACATGATAATTAATGAGATTAGAACGATTATGCTCAATGTTACTGCTATAATACATAAACTATTGCATCCACCGCTTCCGGATCCTTCTTCATCGGCGACAACCCAACTTATTCTACCACGAGGCCGATACCTATATCCGTCCAACTCGAATTCCCCGAGTTTGTCCTCAGGCTGCCGATCACCATCAGAAGATGTCCCGCATCTGGCTAACGAAAGTCGCGACGTTACAATTACGTAGATGCACAATATGAGGCAATGTCGAAAATTTCGCCAAAATGTTGCATGGGCATAATGAATAGTCATTGTAAAATTTTCAACTATTAAACATAACGACAAATTGTTGTGTGACGAGAGATTTGCCTGTGAGAAAAAATGTTTTCGCCAAAAAAAGTGAAAGGAAATATCGTCATGGCAGAATTCGAGACAGGAATAATAAGAAGCAAATTTTCAAAAAAAAAAAAAAAGCCCCAATGAGTGGCAAACACTTTATTCAAACAAATATTAAGGTATCCAAAAATAACAAATAATGATTCGGTCACGATTGGCGCAGCACGTACGAACGATAAGTGTCGTTCGCCTGCCATTCGCAAAGACAAAATGTCAGTCAGTCTAACTAAGCCACACGGCTTATCGTCACCTTAGCATGACCCAATGGCTTAACGGCATATCCAGACCAAAAACGTCTAGACGAAAATAGCTTCGGGTCAGAGATATATCATGGTTGGCTTATCGGGATGTGATGAAACTACAGAAACATTATTTTGGCTTTGGCCGGTGCCATGAACTGTTTGTCTTATGCAAAGGGGTAAGATCTTCATGCAAGCAAGATATTAAACATGCCTCATATCTGGTAAACTATCCGTGTGTTAAGCGTGTGTGTCAAAGAATTATAATATACTCGAATTCTTTTCGGGAAGTTGCCACAATGCTATTATTTCACATTAGATCTTTTTTAGATGTGATAGATTGACAACTACACGTGCGCTTGTGTTTTTTACATACAGTATAAGGTTTATCTATTTACGTAAATGTCGATTTACTATTTAACATTTAATTTTGTAAATTTTTGATTTATTTCAATATTGGCAATATGTGTTGTATATCTTGTATATATTCGATTTTGATATTTTGAAAAAATTGGTAAAAGAAAAAATGGATATCTTTATAAAAAAAAAAAAATACAAACATCGATATCATTTTGTTAAATCTTTATTATGGACACTGTACCCAATATATCAATGTTGATGATCGATTTTTTAAAATTTTAAGGTCCAAGGTTTTATTAATACTGTAAATCACATGAATTTAAGATGAACTTGAAAGTAACATTATGCTTTCTTAAAATTCATATTATGATGGCAAAAATAGTTAAAGCCAATATGTACAAGTTAAATGTGTACGCCGTACAATGTCGCTACTGTTAGCCGGGATCGGCTCGAGTCATGTGACATGGCGTGATGCATCAGGGGAGGGAGATTTTGCATGACGCGACATTAGATTGGTGGACGCGTCGCAGCTAATATAAATAGAAGTAGGATTAGGGTAGTGAATGTAAGTTAGTAAAAACCTTGTAGTCAATTGTACTCGCAGCATAATTAATAAGCCTACATTATTGAAATACTCGTCGCCTAAAGACAGGCGGAAAGAAGGAAAGTTAGATAATTGTCGTGTTCACAAGAAGTACATTTGGTATTACAAGTGACATGACCCTTACATACCAGCATATAGTTCCAGATTGGTGACGGACTGGTCGGTAGTGCTAACGGTACTTATCTGCACGTTATGCATTCCGGCAATGGCTGAAACGCAAGGCCGAGGAAACTGGCGCGATGGTAATTATCCAGGATGAGGCGTACACTTCCAAGATCTACAGCTATTGTGGGAACATATGTTTATAAATGTGGAAATTGTCTTACGGTTATAGATAGAGATGTAAACGGAGCCCGCGGGATCTTCCTACGGGCATTGCTTGATGGAGCCATCCACATGGGGATGTAGGAATAGGCTCGGATGGATTGTAACACATCATTGATAATCATTACTATCTTGTTTGTGTAGCATTGTAAATGAGATCACCTATATTTAGTATTACATGTTATTAATCAGTTCGATGGAATGGACAAGTTTTGCATCACAATTAGTCAACAATTTTTTTTAATATTAGCTAACACATTAGCAAAACACACACATGAAATGATTTTTATGCGTAAGGTAATTACAAATTCCAATCTAATCATCCGTTATGTGTATTTTTCTTTATTACATAATAATACGAGCCGTTAATATTATCAGCACACGTACTTAAAACGAATTGTTGACGTTCACTAATCGTGTAACAAGTGTGTTCGGCTGGGAACCTATCAATTTGATTTTATGTAAGTAAACCTTTGTCTCGTGCAAATAAGATGTGGCTTAATAGTTTGTTTGGTTCGTTTTGTACGTTGATAAAAAAATAGAGTGGTAAGAAAAGGGTAACAAGCAAATACTCAAATTCACTTTTTTTCACAGTACACTCTATATGGAACTATTACGTAATTAGTTGGTTCGATTCAATTAATTGTGAATGACTTTGTGACACAAATTATTGTGAATTTGGTCAAGCTTGTGCACTGTATTAGGTAATTGAGTAACGGAGCTTGCGTTTACTTTAGGGATATGTTTAATCCAATTTTCAGTGATTACAGATACCTGCATTTTCCAAAATTAATTATTTATATTTTAAAGGCAACCAATTAATTCATCTGTGCAATACGTCAAACACCCTTTATATTTTCGTATTAATGTACGAAGATATTACGTACATACAATTTGATGTTAGGGACATTGTGTTAATGATAATTGGGATTGACAAAAGTATCATTCGGAATTAGAATTTTAAACGCGATCAAAATAAAATTTCCTTACAAACAATCAAACAAACGAATTTGTTAAACATGACTTAAATTTTGTGGGTCGTTTTTTAAATTGATTTACGTTACATGTCAAACAATTCCAAAACTCGAACTTGTAGATCCGAAAACGAACGGCGATTATGATCACATGAAAAAACACGAGTTATTAAAACAAAGTTTGTGGAATTAGCAAAGAGGTCACTTGTTATTTTTTACAAAACCTGCCAAGTTAATACTTGGAATTTTTATGTATTGAAAACTATTGAAAAAAAATAGGATGCAAATATGTTACAGAAGAAGAAATTGTGGGGTAATAATAATAATGACTAACAATGTGCGAATTTTTTTTCATTTTTTTTTTCTTCTGAAATCAAATGATCGTTTGTATGAAGGGAGAGGTCGGTAGATTGGACAACACCGGCTTCCCTTCCTGAGAAAAGCTTGGGATTGGAAATTTTTCTCTACATAGTGTTTCTTTTTTTTTTTTTGCTTATTTGTTTGACGATTAGCTCTTGTTGGAATGCTAATGCTAAACTTTTGATACATTTTTTTTTTCTTTTTCTGTATATAAACTATTGATTTAAAAATACTTGGTGATTATAAAATAATAATGGCCGTGATTGATTAATTGGGCCATGTACTAAAGTAACTAATTAGTTATTACATTATATGTAATCTTCTTATATGCGGAATTGTTCATCCCAAACTTTTTTTTTGTCTCAGACAGGTAATCATTAAATAAATAAAATAAATAAAAATTTGCGTGTGAATTGAATTACAGATAATACAAGTATAGAAGTGTGTATGTTAGAAATGTTTTCTTCGGCCGCCCACCTCCAAAAATAAGTACAAGAATTTAAGAAAACCGTTGTGGCTTGCATAACCGGAATGTTAAGATGATACAAAAAAATGAATGATATTTGATCAAATGAAAAGACGATCGTTGATTTTTCAATGTTCCTGGATTTGACCGACATGTTTTCGGAG